TACCTGACATAGACCACAGGTTAGGCCAGCCACAAGCTATGTATTGATGGTTACTTGTGTAGCCACCCTATATAGAACCATAGGGTGGTTACACCTTGAAAACAAGTCTTCCAATGTCCTTCAATGCTACCTCCATGCTTCCCATCAACTTGCCACCTTTCATTTAAGTCAGAAGTGACTTAAAATATCCTTGCAAGTGGGTAAAAAAAAACGATAGCACACTAAAGAAACTATTGAGAAACAGTGCATATTCGAAACAGCACGTGTCTGGCGACCGGTCGCTGGTAGCTTGCGACCGGTCGCAAGAAGGTTTCGCTCCAGGCCTCGACTCTGCCTGAAAACGACCGGTCGCAAATAGCCAGCGACCGGTCGCTAGTCGACTTCGCTCCAGACTTCGACTCTGCCTGAAAACGACCGGTCGCAAATGTCGTGCGACCGGTCGCTGGTCCAAGAATTAGTATCCTTTATGCGAGCCAATTTTCCAACACCCCGTAGGGGATCTTTTAAGTTAAACTGTTCATCTCTTGTATGTTTGAAGAAAACAAAAATAAAAGTGGAGAATAAACGTTGGAAATGAGGATTTTTGACTTGATGGGGGTTTGGGGTTGGAGAAATTGTGCGTATGTTGAGTTCTTAAAGGATGTCTATGCAAATTTGTAATAATACTACATTTCGTTGATCCATGATGGCCAAGACGGTAATGAACTTTTGGTTCGTGATAGTATGAGCTTCATTTACTTTTGTGGTATAAGAAATTTATTCCCCCTTTTGTTTTTCTTAAAGGAGAGCATCAAGGGCTCACATACAAGATGAGTGTATTGGTAAAGTTTTTAAATATAAAGTAAGCAAAAGAGAAATGTTTGACAAAATATTTCTTCTCATTAGACTGCCCATTTATAAACTAGGGTACCCATGGGTGGGTATGGTTCCTATTATTTATGGGACAAATCACAATTAATTTGTTTGATAATACGACGTTTATTCAAAATAAAGTTGATGAGTTTTTCATTTTATTAATTCCTAAAACTATTCTTGGACCACCATATACTCAAGGATCTCAACAAGTGATAAACAAGACTATGATCTATAATACACTTGAATGCACTCGAGACCTTTCTGATGCAAATTGTAAGAAGTGTCTTCACATTGCTTTAAGAGAACTTCTAGATCATAGTTGTGGAAATATTGATAGACGTACTATTTATGGGAGTTGTTACATTGCATATGAACTTTACCGCTAAGCTCATTATAATTCCCATGTTTGATTTGTGTAATAATAGGAACCATACCCACCCATGGGTACCCTAGTGGTTTTGGGGTGAACTTGCAATTGTGTGTGCTCCATAAGTCGTGGGTTTAGACCACTTGGGTGGGTCTAATGAGCCCTGTTGTGGGTGTTTCCTCATTACCAAATAAAATAAATAATAGGAACCATGTTATAAATTATATGTAATTAATTTGATTGTCACAAATATGTATTTGTGATTAGTATGTAATATGCTTTACTTTATATGATGTCGTATGTAAAATAGGAAGACTCGTGAGACTAATGACTAATGGAATCTAAAGTAGTATGACCATGGTCAAACTTCAATGGTTCACAATATCAAACCGTCTAGTAGTTGGTTCCCTCCGAAGTTTCCTCGGAATAGTTGTATCCCTTTTTTTCTACACTCCCCTTTCTTCATTAGTGTGCGTTGAAGTTATTGTTTCGTTATTTTTGTTTGAGTGAGTTTATTTGCTATTGTATTTTGCTATTGAGCTAACATAGCTCGTCATTTTTTTTTTGCTTTGAATTTCTTCCATTTTTATTCGATCTTGGCGTTGTCTTCCTGTTCGCGGAGGTATGAATTGTAGGCTTTGTTTTGTTTTTTTTCAATTTTGTTGGATCTCTTCATTGTGTTGTTCTGGTGTTGATTTGTGTTTGAATTTTTTTGTTAAGGTATTCTTCAATTTTCGTAGTTCTTGATGCATGTTTGGGGAGGGAATTAATCATCCGCAGCCACCATCATCCAAATCCAACAAGCCCCATCATGGATGATGGTGGCTAAGAATGATCGGGAGGGGGGGGATGGGTTTGGGGTGATGGGTCTGTGTAGTTAATCTTTTTAAAAAAAAATTCGTAGTTTTTTACATATAATTTGGATTATAAAGTTTTTTAATAGCTGAATTATTATAATGCCCCTGTCACATAAGCATCCTTAACGGTTTTGTAGACGGAAATAGACGGAAGTGGTAAAGTGAAATTTTTTTAGCGTTTTTAGAGATTATGAAGTTTAAGTGAGAAATTTTCAGTTTCGGAGAGTAAAGTGAGACCGCGCACTTGTTTCAGGGAGTAAAACAGTAATAATTGTGAATCTGCACCCAAACACTGTTTACCCTTATCTGAACTTCTAAAAGGGCAAATAAGAAAAAATATATGATGAGGAGTTGGAAGCCACCAAAAAAGAAAGATAAAAAAAGCGTGAATTAATATCAATAAAACATATTTTAAAGCCTAAGTACATTCAAAGTTAGATTGTTTAGGGATCTTAAAACCATACGAATCAAAGTAATTTCCACCTTAAAAATCTTCAATCTATGTGCCCAGCTATAATTGGCTTAGCATTTGAGTAAATTTCTTGTTTAGGAGGGCTCCATCCATAAGCTTTAGCATTTTTATTTTTCCATTTTTAAAAGGAAACGTGATTAGCTTGCCAGTAGTTACATAGGAAAATTCTTATGTGTAAAATGGCCTCACGGATCTGTGATACATTTGGCTATAATGCAACGCAGGAGGTGGCGAGCTCTATAAAATATAATGAGGTTGTGTCATGCTCTGGTGATGCCACGCGTTAATTTATAAAACAAAATAAGAACTTAAATAAATTGAAAACAAAACCAGCAACCACAGCTGTAGGAGATGCGCACAAAGGCACAGTCTGAGAAATGCCAACAACAACTCCAATGAAAGTTTCTTATTTTATTTTTCTCAAGCACTAACATCTTATATTACAAGATTAAAAAAATAGCAGTCCTATAGAAATTTTAGGATTGCTTTCATAATTTAGTCAAAAAAGCCACTAGCCACAAAGGGATCTTAATTAAGATTGCAAACTTAAAATAATTACGAAAAGATAAAGCTTAAAAAAACCAAGTCATAACAATATTAATAATACTCTCACAAAGGAGAAATGAAAAGCTCTCACAAAAGAAGATGTGAAAACTACAAAGAAAACTCAAAGAGTTTATGTGACTTATTCCAAACATAAAGAAACCGAAAACAAGGATGGTGGTGGAGATCCGACGTCAACTGTTTTGGTGTTTTTGAGGTGTTTAACAACCGCCAAGAGCTCAACTGTTTTGGTGTTTTTTAGGTGTTTAACTTCAAGTTAACACACTACCGAAAAAAAGTGTCAATATTCATCATTACTTGGTGATATTTGGTGACTAATGTGGGATGATTAAAGGCTTTAGTCACCAACAAAAGCCTTAAGTCACCAAAAAGGGCTTTTTTGGTGACTAAAGTCTTAGTCACCCCAAATTAATCACCAAATAATGATGACTGTTGTTAATTTTTTTTTGTAGTGACGTGACACATAACAGAAAAATATTATTTAATTCTCTTAAAATATTTGAAGATTACTTTAGAGTAAAATGAAATAACCAATTTTTAGTATTATTTTTTGTCATCAAAATGCCTTTTGGCGGTGAATGGAGGTTCAAATAAAATAATGCACAGTGTTTAAAGCAGGATGACAAAATGCTGTGCAATGTCGTCTCCTACTAATATTATTATATTAATGCCAAAATGCTGCGTTCCATACAGCTTTGTTGTGCGTTTTGACAACCCGTTCCAACAACCGCCAAGAGCTCAAACCTCTGTTTTTATCTAATTTATTTATCTATTGTATTCATTGCCCTGACCAAGTATATTATATAAATACCAAATTGATAACTCACTTGTGTCACATCCAAACTTTCATTGCAAAACAACCGTCATGGCTTCTTCTTCTCCACCATCAAAATACTTCTCCCTTGTGGTTTTGGTGCTTTGTTTTATTGTTGGCTCTTTGGTGGCTGTTGCCTCTGCTGGTAATTTCAATCAAGATTTTGAGATTACATGGGGTGATGGCAGAGGTAAGATTTTAAACAACAACGAGCTTCTTATGCTGTCTCTTGATAAAGGCTCAGGCTCAGGATTTCAATCCACAAATGAGTATCTGTTTGGCAAGATTGATATGCAGCTTAAGCTTGTCCCTGGAAACTCTGTTGGCACTGTCACTGCCTACTATGTAAGTTTTAATTTGTGCTAGCTCTAATTAATATTACTCTTTGTCTCGCACTGGCTTGCAGCTCAAGTCATTAACAACGTTTATTCTGCATCCGAAGTCTTCCTGTCGAATCTCCCTCCCCCAATATTACTTTGCTTAAAATAAAAAATAAAAAATATAACTCCTTGTATCAAAAATAAATTAAAGTTACTTTTTGTTTGTGAATTTGCAGTTGGCCTCAAAAGGATTAACATGGGATGAGATTGATTTTGAGTTCTTGGGGAACCTAAGTGGTGATCCTTACATCCTTCACACCAATGTGTATAGCCAAGGCAAGGGCAACAGAGAGCAACAGTTCTACCTCTGGTTTGACCCAACTGCTGATTTCCACACATATTCAATCCTTTGGAACTCGCAACGCATTGTGTAAGTAGCCGCCAACATGACTTTGCACTCAAATCATTTACTTCAAGAGTATTTTCTTAGTCCTCCAGAGTTGTCACACCATAATTTAGTGGCTTGAATGATATTGGACTAATGTACTGGCTGCTGTTTGGTGAAGTTATAAATGATTGGCGGAATGTATTTTATTAAACAATTGTCTATATTGTGTCTTATCTCATCTAGACGGGTGAGACTCGTAAAAATAAGAACTAGTTTTGAATTCAATTCCAATTCAGTCCAGGCCAAGCCACCCAACAAGCTCGGACATGTCTCTATTCCTACGAAATTTATGATCATATACATGTAAAGTGACACAATATTTTGTAAACAAATAAACAATAATATCTCTACTATAATATTATGATTTTTTTAAAATTTCTAGGGGTATTAAAATGGTTGTGTTTTTCTTTTCTATGTCAGCTTCTAGGGGTGGTCTGGTTAAGACAGACTGGACCAAAGCTCCTTTCACCGCCTTCTACAGGTGTCAAATTTTCCAGGTTAACGGGCCGAGGGCTCACTCCAACAATACCGATACTCCTCCCACTTTACCACCTGCACAATCCTCAGGTGTGGGGTTTTATCACAAAAGGCCTCGGTATTAATTAGAGATGGGTATTTCTATTTAAACTACTTTCTCTTTGGCCCTCTAGCCGATGTGGGACAACAATGAGTTCCAACACTCCCCCGCACGTGAGACCCCATTTTTATGAGTCACACGTGGAGATCCACATCGGCAACCACGTGGAGCCATGTAGGGACTCACCCATCGCGCGGGGCCAAACGGGGACCCACCCATCACGTGGCAAGTACGGGCCCACAACTTGGCTCTGATACCATGTCAAATTTTCCAGGTTAACGGGCCGAGGGCCCACTCCAACAACACCGATATTGTCCCCACTTTACCACCTGCACAATCCTCAGGTGTGGGGTTTTATCACAAAAGGCCTCGGTATTAGTTAGAGATGGGTATTTCTATTTAAACTACTTTCTCTTTGGCCCTCTGGCTGATGTGGGACAACAATGAGTTCCAACACTCCCCCGCACGTGAGACCCCATTTTTATGAGTCACACGTGGAGATCCACATCGGCAACCACGTGGAGCCATGTAGGGACTCACCCATCGCGCGGGGCCAAACGGGGACCCACCCATCACGTGGCAAGTACGGGCCCACAACTTGGCTCTGATACCATGTCAAATTTTCCAGGTTAACGGGCCGAGGGCCCACTCCAACAACACCGATATTGTCCCCACTTTACCACCTGCACAATCCTCAGGTGTGGGGTTTTATCACAAAAGGCCTCGGTATTAGTTAGAGATGGGTATTTCTATTTAAACTACTTTCTCTTTGGCCCTCTAGCCGATGTGGGACAACAATGAGTTCCAACAACAGGAACTTCAATGCCATTAATGCCTGCGTATGGTCCTCTGGGGCATCTTCTTGCACTTCAAAGTCTCCATCTTCAACTAGCTCAGCTGGAAATACATGGCTTTCTCAAGAGTTTGATTTGGCAAGTCAGGAGAAACTGAAATGGGTGCAAAGAAACTACATGATTTACAATTACTGCAAAGACACCAGGAGATTTCCCCAAGACTTTCCTCAAGAATGCGCACTACTGTCTTGAGAAACTGAGAAGAGAGACTTTGATCGATCCTTTTTTCTGCTTTGATGTTCCCTTTAGGTTTTTAAATTATATCTTGTATGTCAATGTCTAAAGATATTTTTCTTGCTTTTAATGAAAATATCCAAGGTCTCGATTAGTCTCGGCTAGGGAAACAAGATTGGGAATCATTAAATAAATAAATAAAAAAGCAGCATGTATAGCCGTGCGGCTATACTATTTCTTTCAAAAAAAAAAGAAACAATAAGTATAGCCGGGCCGCTATAGTATTTAATAAAACAAAAATTAAGAAATCGGACCCTTCTAGTTGCATTAGTTCATACTATTTCTTTTATTATTATAACAAATTAGAAGAATGGAGTATTGCCGTGCGGCTACACTATATCTTTAACTATATCAGTAAAGAAAATTAGAAAAAAATGAGTATCGCCGGGCGGCTTTACTATTTCTTTTTTAAAAAAATGAAAAAAGCGAGTGTAGCCGTGCAGCTATCCTATTTCTTCAACAACAAAAAACATTGGAAAAAGCAAGTATGGCCGTGCGGCAATACTATTTATATAAAAAAAACATTAAAAAAAGCGAGTATACAAGTGAAAAAAATGAGTTATAGCCGTGGCTATACTATTTAATATCACAAAATTAAGAAATAGGAGCCTCCTAGATGCATTAGTTCATACTTTATAGATACGTACATGTTTTATTCGGCAAATTACAACTTAAGAGTTCCGCCACTATATAATATTTTAGTATAATATATTTAAAAATTTTCGTATACATTATTTGTATTCAATAATATGTGAGAATTTTGTGTATAATTCTTGAAGTTTTTGTGTATTATTGAAAATTTTATAAAAATACGTGTATTAAACATATTTAAAAAAATGTACGTACATGTTCAATACGAGTATAGCCGCGTGGCTATACTATTTATTTTTTATAAAAAATAAGAAAAAAATTGAAACAAAAGAGTATCGCGGCCCGGCTCTACTATTTCTTTTGAAAAAAATTTAAAAAACTAGTATAGCCGTGCGGCTATTCGATTTCATTAAAAGTAATTAAAGCAAGCGCGAAACGCCGTGCGGCTATACTAATTCTTTAAAAACAATTTGAAAAAAATGAGTTTAATAAAACAAAATGAAGAAATTGGACCCTCCTAGTTGCATAAGTTCATACTTTATAGATATTATTTTTGGTATAACTGCGCGGCTATATGTATTTTATTCGGCAAATTAAAACTTAAAAGTTCGGCCACTATATAATATCTTAATATAATATATTTAAAAAAATTCTTATATATTATTTGTATTCAATAATATGTAAGAATTTTATTATAATTCGGGAATTTTGGTGTATTATTCAAAATTTTATAAACAATACGTGTATTAAACATAAAAAATACGTATGTACATGTTCAATATGAGTATAGCCGCTTCTTTAAAACAAATTTAAAAAACCGAACTATTTCTTTAAAACAAATTGAAAAAACGGCTATACTATTTCTTTATAATAAATAAGAAAAATGGAGTATAGCCGCACGGCTATATTGTTTCTTTTTCAGATTTTGTTGGATTCAAATGCACAATATAAGGCCCAAGAAAACGCGAACACCACTCTTCATTAGCCAAAGCACGATCAAGTCAAATGTGAATCCCCTTTGAGTTATTCTGCCACCAATTCAATTTTGGACCTGTAAAACCTAGGTCCCTTAATTGGTAAGAATCAAGAGCATGTCGAAAACCTTGCATCTGTTGCTCACTACGAGGTTTTCCCCCCATCCTCTCATCAGCACGTAAAATCTCGTTGAAATCCCCACAACACAAACATGGCATAGAAAAGGAAGTACCCAGACTCTCTAGGAGGTCCCATGAGCGGTGACAATCAGTAGTAAATGGGTGACCATAAAACCCCGTAAGGCGTTAGCGTCCTAGCACTCTCAAAGCCTCAACCACTGTATCAATATGGTTGGATTTTGGCACCACATTAACCTCTTTCATCCACATCAAACATAAACCCCCAACAGTGCTGACACTCTCCATAACAATATGTTGGCCAATCTTTACTTAGTTAGGATTTTGGTTGCTTACTCATTTTTCTAGTCCTATTATAATTGAGATTTATTTCCTATTGTAATTTATATTTATTTTCTATTGTAATTTGGATTTATTTTCTATTTTATTTAGGGTTGTACTTTTTTATAAATACCTCCATATTGGAGAAAAATATCAATATAAGCATATATGAATATTTGGCATACTTTGTTTGACATGGTATAAGAGCCAGGTTTTCTTATGACCTATGCTTGCGTTCTCCTTGCAATTTAAGTGCTCTCCTCCCCTCCTCTTCAAGAGGGGGAGGGGGAGTGAAAAGGATATGTTTATTGATGTATCCCCATGAAGATGTTGCCTATTTCTTGACTTCAACGACCCCTTCTTTTCAGGGGGAGAAGGAGAGTGAAGAGAAGTCGTGTCTGCGTGAATGAGCTAAAGTTGATATGAAAGAATTTGTCATCGTTTTCAGTTTCCGTTTCTATGGTCATTGTCGATGATGTTGCTATGTTTGGATCCATCTCTACAACATAAAAAACCCTAAACACTACCTATTTCCACTGCAGTATACACCTAACTTATAATCCTAGCCCACCTCGACTGTCTACCTAGCTATTGCCGCCGCTGCCACCACCTCGCCATTAATCACCATGTCGAATGTTGATACCTTTATTTCTTCACTTCTTCTTATTCTACTTCACCTACTGCTTCTCTTACTCCTATTGTGTTCTGCCTTACCTACTGCCGTGCTCACAGGGTTTCTGTGTTTTGATTTTATGTGTTCTTCTATATGCCCTATTTGTTAGGGTTTGTCAGTTGTTTCACTCATGGTTTATGACAAGGCATTCTCGATAGTTGTTTGATTGGTCAATGTTGAGTATGATGTTCTATAACTGACTTGTCAAGTTGGGCATACAAACTATCTTTGCCCCAACTTGAGAGGGAGTGTTGGCGAGCTGAGTCCTTACTTAGTTAGGATTTTGGTTACTTACCCATTTTTATAGTCTTATTATAATTGAGATTTATTTCATATTATAATTTATATTTATTTTCTATTGTAATTTGGATTTATTTTCTATTTTATTTAGGGTTGTACTTTTTTATAAATACCTCCATATTGGAGAAAAATATCAATATAAGCATATATGAATATTTGGCATACTTTGTTTGACATGGTATAAGAGCCAGGTTTTCTTATGACCTATGCTTGCGTTCTCCTTGCAATTTAAGTGCTCTCCTCCCCTCCTCTTCAAGAGGGGGAGGGGGAGTGAAAAGGATATGTTTATTGATGTATCCCCATGAAGATGTTGCCTATTTCTTGACTTCAACGACCCCTTCTTTTCAGGGGGAGAAGGAGAGTGAAGAGAAGTCGTGTCTGCGTGAATGAGCTAAAGTTGATATGAAAGAATTTGTCATCGTTTTCAGTTTCCGTTTCTATGGTCATTGTCGATGATGTTGCTATGTTTGGATCCATCTCTACAACATAAAAAACCCTAAACACTACCTATTTCCACTGCAGTATACACCTAACTTATAATCCTAGCCCACCTCGACTGTCTACCTAGCTATTGCCGCCGCTGCCACCACCTCGCCATTAATCACCATGTCGAATGTTGATACCTTTATTTCTTCACTTCTTCTTATTCTACTTCACCTACTGCTTCTCTTACTCCTATTGTGTTCTGCCTTACCTACTGCCGTGCTCACAGGGTTTCTGTGTTTTGATTTTATGTGTTCTTCTATATGCCCTATTTGTTAGGGTTTGTCAGTTGTTTCACTCATGGTTTATGACAAGGCATTCTCGATAGTTGTTTGATTGGTCAATGTTGAGTATGATGTTCTATGACTGACTTGTCAAGTTGGGCATACAAAATATCTTTGCCCCAACTTGAGAGGGAGTGTTGGCGAGCTGAGTCCTTACTTAGTTAGGATTTTGGTTACTTACCCATTTTTATAGTCTTATTATAATTGAGATTTATTTCATATTATAATTTATATTTATTTTCTATTGTAATTTGGATTTATTTACTATTTTATTTAGGGTTGTACTTCTTTATAAATACCTCCATATTAGAGAAGAATAAAAATATGAGCATATATGAATATTTGCCCTACCTTGTTTGACACAAAACTCTCCCTAAAACTAATAAGACGAACTTTCTCCCTAGCACTCCTCGAACAACCTGTTTCACAAAGAAACACCATTTTGGGATCCTTGTTACGGACAATGTCCCCGCAACGCTTCAACCATCCAAGGGTTCCCAAGCCTGTTCTAGTTCCAACTTAAGAGATTCATTGTGCTAGGCGGAGCTAATCCTCGTCAGCCTCCACCAATCTCTGTTGCCATGTCGAAGAACTAGAAGTCGTGCAACGACACTTCTGTTCTAATATTACTCTCATGTCCAAACTACTATTGGCCCCTCTCCTCCCATTTGAATTAACCTCATATGTAGAAGAGCGGCCCACACTTCTGCACTTACCCCGACCTTTGTGGTTAGCCACATACTGTGCTAACTTGGGCACATAATTTGAAGTGTGTTGAATAATAGGCCAAAGCCCAAATGGGTCATCCTGACAGAGCTGATAAAAAATTGGCCAATTAGGGTTAAAATTCGGCTCCACACCAGGTAACAATGGGGGTCCACAAGTCACCATCACCTCACATGAATTAGATCAGTGGAGAAGCCAAGATTTTATGTGTGTGGGGGCCTCTTACAAATTATAAAGAATCAAAAATTCGAACTCACAATACGTACGAAAAATAGTATATATATATATGTCAAGAATTATATTGCTTATTGGATGAAATCATAATTGTCCTCGATAAAGGGATAGATAAATGCATTCTAAGCAAGAAAAATTGCAAGAGATAGACAAAGAGTAGCGATTTAGCAAATATCTTTAAAGCTTTTTTACCCATTAAACCCAATAGAAAGAAAAAATCAAAATTTCACAAACTAAAAAAAAACCTTAGGTCCCTTCATGCATTCATATCATACA